GTCCCGTGAGCTTCCCTGCCTCCTGTTCTATCAGTTAGAATTCTTCACGGGCAGTTCACAAGGGGATGAATTCCTGCAAACATTCCCATGGGAATTGCGATTCCCTCAAAGTAGCTAAGAAAATAGTGTTGTAGGATAGATAGAAGTCCCAACCTGAGTGGTAAAGTCTGCGGGAGTTACTGGCTATGTCATTCAGAAACAGGCAGTGTGTTAGAGACAGCAACATGCAGAGAGATACTTGAGGTTTTAAAATGTTTATAGTGATTGAAAAATCAGATTTAATCATATGCCCCACATCATCCTTAATCGTTGCCTCCAAAAAGGTGAGTATATAAACTCCATTTCCCAGCGAGAAAACCGGCGAAGCGGTTAAGTACTTTCCCCAGCATCACACTGGTCGGAGGATCTGAGATTCTGACCAAGGGAGTCCGGAGCCCATGTACTTGGCTCTATACTGCCTCTCAGTGCAACAGTCTGAATAAATAGTAAAACGATGGTTTCAAAGATCCTGGCTTAAGATACCCTTCCCAGAGATCACATGGGATCTAATAACGGGAATGATAGGAATTTTATACAAGAGCAAAACAAGCACATGGACACCATCATTGAGAATAACAGCCTGGCTTTGGATGGAGTGGTTGGGGCAGGGTTCTGGGAGGTGACAGACCTGGTTAGTGAAAAACTCTAACTGCAGAGTTCCGTTAGAAAGAGCAGCATGCACAAGGCCCCGAGTCAAGAATGAGCTTGGTACATTTTAGCCGAAGCAGGAGTTAAAGCTGGATAGCGTGGCAGGGACCAGTTATCTGAGGCCTTCCTTATTCTAGGTGTAACTATAAGCCGTTGAAGGGTAAGTCAGAGCTAAATACTCTCAACAAGAGTTTGTCGGCAGCTGTATGGAAAATGGTTGGGGAAGGGACTGGAATGTCACGCCTTTGCAGAGATCAAGGCCAGAGAGAGTGATGGCTGTGATTGAGGGAGGGGGTAGATATGAAACAGTGTGTCCAGATCCCATAACATTTAGGAAAGAATATCCAATAACGTATGGGAGTAGAATTCTAGAATAAATTCCAGCTTTAGGGTTTGAGCAACTTGGTAGTTCAAGTTGTAATAGATCAGTGGTTCTCAACCTGTGGGTCGCGACCCCTTTGGGGGTCGAATGACCCTTTCACAGGGGTCGCCTAAGACCATCGGAAAACACATATAATTACATAATGTTTTTGTGATTAAATATGCTTTAATTATGTTCAATTCGTAATAATGAAATTGGGGGTCACCACAACATAAGGAACTGTATTAAAGGGTCGCGGCATAAGGAAGGTTGAGAACCACTGTTATAGATTAAGATTGGAAGAAGAGGTCATGTTCTCTGGACCTGTGAAGACCGATGCCTCAGTGATGTGTATTGCAATGAAGATGTCCTGCAGGCTGTTGGGTACTAGCCTGGAACTCAGGACAGGCCTTGACTGGGGTAGGAATTTAGAAGACATCATGGAGGTGGCACTTCAAAACAGGAATATGTGAGCTCACCCCGGAAGAGAATTCTGAGTAAAGAGCGCTCAGTGCTGCCTGACGCACGTCAACATTTAGAGACCAGTAGAGTAGGAACCAACAGGGAAAACTTAAGGGAAGCCCAAGGAAGAGGAAAACCAGAAAAGGGCTTTCGTCCCAGAAGAAAAGAGGATTTCAAAGAGGAAGGGGTGTCAACCATCAAATGTTTGAGAGGAAGGTGACAGGAAGGCAAAACAGGTGGTGGCATGACCAAGAGGTTCTATGGAGCAATCGGGATGGAAGCCAGGTGGGTGGGACCTGGAGAGGGGGGTCAGAAATGACCTGGAAGTCACGCTTTCCGTATCCTAAAAGAAGCAACATCCATGAAGAAAGACATCCAAGGATAAATTATTGCAGGACAAAATGGGATCGCCATCAATAACAAAATGGTTAAATTCGATAAGATAAATCCTTTCAAGGTATTACAGAATAGGAGCGATTACTACTAAAATAGGAAAATCTCAGTGACTCTGAAATAAAGCAAGTTGCAAAACTCTTAAATCAGAACTGTATGATTTCATTTGCATAAACCACAAGACTTGCTGTCTGTCTCTCTAGGTAAATCTGCATGTAAATTAACAGGAAAATGTCTCTAAGGAAACATGTCTAACCACAGCAGTGATTTCTGGACACTTACAAATGAAAATATAATTTTTTAAGTACTAGAATGTAAAGAGGGACAAACGGCTGTAGAACTCATGAGAAATGTTGCTCTAAAATAGAGCTGAGCGATGGAGTTGAGGCATTTTGTCTATAAGATGAGTGTGTTTGCTAGCATGCAAATGGAAATGATAGAGACTGATTTTGCAGGAAAAGGGATACTTGAAAAAGGGAATTCCTTGTGTAGTTAAGAAAAAATGGGACACATGAATATATGCATTACCCATGGACACAGACAAGGGGCGGGTGGTGAAGGTCTAGGGCGGGGTGGGGCGGAGGCTGGCTGGGAAAAGGGGCATGTGTAATATTTTCAACGAAGATTTAAAAAAGGGGACTCGGCACAATGGGAGAAGCCAGTCACTGCCTTCATCATAGCCAGTGGAATAAGGATGTGTGCATGAGCACCTAAATACATGAAGCACATATTAAAACACCTAAAGGGAGAAATAGCATACAATAACAGTAGGGAACTCTTAATGCCCCACTTAACATCAATGGATAGAGCATCCAGGAAGGAAATCAATAAAGAAACACCAGCCTTAACAGGCAGAACATTCTAACCAAAAGCAACAGAATACACATTTTTCAAGTCCACATTAAGATCATAATAGATCATATAAAGTCCTAACAAATTTGAGAAGACTGAAATTGTATCAAGATGTTTCCCAACCACAATAGTATAAAACTAGAAATCAATTACAAGAAAACTAGAAAATTCACAAATATGAGGAGATTGAACTACATGCCACTGAACAACCAGTGGGTCAACAAAGAAAACATACCTTGAGACAAATGGAAATACAGTAAACCAAAACTGACGGGAGGCAGCAAGCGCAGAGGAAAGTTTAAGAGGGAAGTTCATCGAGATAAATGCCTACCTCAAGAAATAAGAAAAATCTCAACCTAACTTTGCACCTCAAGGATCTAAAGAACAAATGAAGCCTAAAGTCGGAAGGAAATAAAGGTCAGAGCAGAAACAGAAAAAATGGAGAGTAAAAATATAAAAGATCATTGAAACCAAGAGCTGGTTCTCTGAAAAGATAAAATTGACAAACCTTTAGCTAGACTCAGCAAGAAAAAAAAAGGAGCACACAAAATCATAGATGAGAGAGGGTACGTTACAATTGATACCACAGAAATACAATTAGAGTAACCTGACCTACAAGAAATGGACAAATTTCTAGTGAAATAAAACCTTCCAAAACTAAATCAGGAAGAAATAGAACGTCTGAGCAGACTGATGACTAGTCAGGAGACGGAATCAGTAATCAAAAACCCCCCAGCAAATAAAAGTCCAGGACTAGATGGCTTTTCTGGAGAATTCAACCAAACTTTAAAGAATCCTTCTAAGCAATAAAAAGTCATAAAAATAGTTACAGTTATAAAAATAGTAGAGGGGATATAAAGTGCAGCATAGGGCCCTAGCTGGTGTGGCTCAGTGGGTAGAGCATTGGACTGCGGACTGGAAGGTCCCAGGTTCAATTCCAGTCAAGGGCACATGCCTGGGTTGCAGGCTTGATCCCCAGTAGGGGACGTGCAGGAGGCAGCCAGTCAATGATGCTCTCTCACTGATATTTCTATCTCTCCCTTCCTCTCTGGAATCAATAAAAATATATTTTTTTTAAAAAGTGCAGCATAGGGAGCATAGTCAATAACACTGTCAATAACTATGTATGGTGCCAATAGGTGCTAGATTTATCCATAAGATATATAAATGCCTAATCACTATGTTACACACCTGAAACTAATATTGTATGCCAACTGTAATTGGACAAATATGCTTATAAGAATTCTTTTCAAACGAATCACCCAATCCATCTCAAGATCTTTCAAAAATGGAAGAGCAGACCACACTTCCAAACCCATTTTACCAGGCCAGCATTGTCCTGGTATCAAAACCAGACAAGGATTCCACAAGAAAATGACAGGCCAATATCCGTGATGAACATAGATGTAAAAATCCTCAACAAAATCTTAGCAAGCAACTCAATAATTCATTAAAAGGATCATACACCATGATCAAGTAGAACTTCCTCCAGAGATGCAAGGATGATTCAACATCGGCAAATCAATCAAGGTGATACACCACATTAATAAAATGAATAAAAATTATCCAATAGACGCAGAAAAAGCTTTTGACAAAATTCAACATCAATTTATGATAAAAACTTTCAGCAAAGTGCACAAAGAGGGAACATACTTCACCATAATAAAGAACATATATGATAAGCCCACAGCTAATTTGATATTCAACAGTGAAAAGTTGAAAGCTTTTTTAAAAATTAATCTTTATTGAAAGTAAAGATTAATTACTTTTTCCTCCCCCATGAGCACCTTCCTCTCCACTCCCCCTTCCTCCTGATGAACATAGATGTAAAAATCCTCAACAAAATCTTAGCAAGCAACTCAATAATTCATTAAAAGGATCATACACCATGATCAAGTAGAACTTCCTCCAGAGATGCAAGGATGATTCAACATCGGCAAATCAATCAAGGTGATACACCACATTAATAAAATGAATAAAAATTATCCAATAGACGCAGAAAAAGCTTTTGACAAAATTCAACATCA